AGAGCAAACTTCTTGCTGGGGGAGAACATTCAACAAGGGGAGGTCAGGCTGAAATAGCAAAGTCAAATAAACACACTGACAGGGTCTTGAGTATTACACTTCTACCACAAATAAGGAAGATAAATTTCATGGTAAAAGTATCAACATAAATCAGCCAGGAATATATCTGGGTAAGAAAAGATGGCACTCAACAAATGGTGCTGGAACAACTGGATAGCAACATGTAAAAGAATGAAATGGGATACCCTTCCTTACACTATAGATATACAAAAACTAACTCAAAATGGATCACAGACCTTAATGTAAGAGAAAAATTATAAAACTCTGAGAAAAAACAAGGAGCAAATCTTCATGATCTTGGTTGAACAAAGACTTCCTAGATATAACATCAAAAGCATAAGGAAAAAAATGTAAAATAAACTGAACTACATCAAAATTAAAAACTTTTGTGCAGCAAATGATACCATCAAGAAAGTGAAAAGACAATTCACAGAATGGAAGAAAGCATTTGCAAATCATGTACCTAACAAAAGACCTATATCCAGAATATATAAAGAACACTTACAACTCAACAATAAAAAGGTAAATAACTCAATTAAAAACTGAGCAAAGGATCTGAATAAACATTTCTCCAAAGAAGATAAACAAATAACAAATAAACAAATGAAAAATTTAGCCATTAGAGAAACGCAAATCAACACTACAGTGAGATACACTTCATACTAGAATGGCTAAAATAAAAAAGATAATAACAAGTGCTGACATGGATATGGAGAAACTGGAACTCTCATGCATTGCTGGTGGGCATGTAAAAAGGTACAGATATTCTGGAAAACAGTTTGGCAGTTCCTCAAAATGTTAAACATAGAGTTACCATATGACCTAGAAATTCCACTCCTAGGTATATACACAAGAGAGATGAAAACATATGTCCACACAAAAACGAGTATACAAATGTTCATAGAAGCATTGTTCGTAACAGCCCTAAAATGAAAGCAATCCAAATGTCTATCAACTGAGGAATAAATAAAATGTGATATATCCATACAATGGAAAACTATTCGGCAATAAAAAGAAATGAAGTACCGATACAAGCTACCACATGGATGAACCTTGAAAACATTATGCAAAGTCACAAAAAAAGACACATATTGTATGATTCCATTTATACGAAATGTGCAGAATAGGTAAACGCATAAAGATGGAAAGTAATGACTGCCTGGGGAGGCAAGGAGAACAGAATGAAGAGTGACTTCTAATGGGTATGGGGTTTCTTCATGGGTGGTGGAAACGTTCTAAAATTAGATTGGGGTGATTGCTGCACAACTCTATGAAGATAATAAAAACCACTGAATTGTACATTTTAAATGGGTGAACTGTATGGTATACAAATTATATCTCAATAAAGTTATTTTTTAAGGCAATGTATTTCACTGTTAAATTAAAAAGTTTAAACACAAAATCTGAAATAGCACTTAAGAATGAATGTTAATTGCTGGTACTCTAGAGTAAATTGAGGAAATGACCTATTGAATAAGTGATATGGAAGAAGACTAGAAATACAGAGATAGGATTTGAAAAATGAAAATACGAAGCTACTGTTCATGAGTGATTTGCAATCAATATTTTAGTAACATGGCCTGGCCCAGTGGCACAGTGGTTAAGTTTGGAAGTTCTGCTTTGGCAGCCCGGGGTTCACCAGTTCAGATTCTGGGTGTGGACCTAGGCACCGCTTGTCAAGCCATGCTGTGGTAGGCATCCCACATATAAAGCAGAGGAAAGTGGGCACGGACGTTAGCTCAGAGCCAATCTTCCTCAGCAAAACAGAGGAGGATTGGCAGCAGATGTTATAGCTCAGGGCTAATCTTCCTCAAAAAAATATATATCTATTTTAGAAATAGTACTACTAAGCTAGAATCAGTATTATCCTAAAAACAAGACAGGCCCTAACATCTTTTGGGCCTCTTTCCTCATCTGTAAAATTACGACTTGCAGCTAACAAAATAATTTTTAAGATGAAGACAGAGAAGAGATGGCTGCTTTCCCAAAAGAATTTGCTAGGCAACAGCCTCTATATGCGTGGATATGCTTGGGCCTTTCAGAATTACAATGAAAAGGAGAGGCACTCCCTCATGATATATGGGAATTGACTAACGTTGCATGTACTGTTCAAGATTTAAATGAGGATAGTCATATAATGAAAAAGTCAAGCCACTGTGGCTCCTCAAACAAAAAAGGATAAGACTGGAAGAATAATTTGGTATCACAGCAGGGAAAGAAAGCAAGTGATGATATACAAGTAATAGTTGGCATAGAGTCTGGTTAGAGAATGTAGCTACGTGGATTTTTGTGAAGAACAGGAATTTTAGGAATGGGTATATTAATTTTATATCTGCTATCAATTTCTGTTATTCTCTGTTCTTTAGTTCCTCTTCAATTACAAAATCTATCTCAGGAACAGCTAAGAATCTGGTGCCTTAAAAATGCCACCTCAAAAGATGAAAGAGATAAGAAAGACATGAAGAGGGGTAGAGGAGTTTGAGATTTACAGTGGAGGGTAGTTAGGGAAGAGAGCTGACTGCCTTAATCAAACCTGGTTAATGATTGTGATGGAAAACAGGAGATGATGATGATAGAGGCGCAGCCAGGGTTAGGCATGGGATCTGAAACTCAAGTCTGTGCATGCTGCTGCCTCTGAATGGGATAAGGAAAAACGGTGAGATCATCCCCTATGAACATGGGCAGGGACAAGCTAGACTAAAGACAAAGACAGTGGGTACTACTCGTATACAGGATGTTCAAGTAACTGAATCTTGGGTCTGATAGTAAGAAGTAGGGTTATCTGCCAAGGCAGGAAGAGGCCAAAAATGAAAAGCCCCTAATAACGATACACAGGGAGTCTAGAAAAGTAACTAAGACAGGTAGGATAGTGCAGTGGTTCTCAAACCATTTTTTTCCCCAGTCCCCTTAGGGCAAAAGATTCCTTAATCCATCTATCCCACAAAACTCCACTTTACAGTGGAAAAAGAACTCCATGATAACAAGGAAGCAAATTTTAGGGAAAACAGGTAACTTATATTTTAGCCATAATGCATATATTCTTAAGTCAAGATACTAGAAAATTACAAGCCAAATGTCACTTGACACAAACATGCATTACTATTCAGTCGAGGGCTAATACAATAAATCACAACAGACTAAACTGATAACACTAAATTAAAGTCATCTATCATATAAACCAAGAATGATAGCAACTAAAAACCACAATGAACTTGACAACATTGACGGTGTTCTGATAAAGAATCCTTCCTAAAAACTCTGGGAAACCAACTGTTCCAGTAGGAGCTCCACTTGGCTGCCAACTGCAGCTCAGCAGTCAAATTTCTTAGTAGAATACTGAAACAGCATCTTCAGTAACTCGAGCAACATTTCGTTTTACGAAAAACCAAATATTAGTAACGCACTTAAAATACTAGTAAGTAGCCTCAGTTTTTATGAAAGTAAAGATAAAGAAATGAGGGTCATTCACCCTCAAGAGCTCAAGAAAACAGGAAAAGAGAAGAGCACGAGAGTCACGATCATAATGCATAAAGGGACAAAAGGCAAACTATCAAGGATGGTCACGTCCAGTGACGGCACTGGGAGAAGTGTGCTAACACACAGGGAGAAACGTGCCCTGCCTGGAGAAGGAGGCTGCGCACAAGAAGATGAGGAGTAAGGTCTCCAGCCTGCCCCTCCTTCAAACATTCTTTCATGAGGCAACTCTCCCGATGAAAAAACAAGCAGTGAGTAATAACTCTTTTTTTTTTTTGAAGGGAGGAGAAGGGACCCAAGACTGTAACATGGGGTATGATAATTATCTATCTATTGGTTGCACCGAGATCAGAAGCTATCACAGGAAGGATGAAGATGAGCTAGTTCCAAGGCACTAGTGAACCAAGGGGAAAGGGAAAGGGAGTTCAAAATTGGGCTTGGTGAGTAATTAACAGGTAGTACAGGTAGATGATCATCTCCAACTGAAGCAGAGCAACAGTGGTCAAAAATGCAGACTCTGGATCCAGAGTGCCTGAGTAGGAATCTCGACTCCCCCACTTTATTCTCGCTGTGACCTTGGGTAAGTCACTTAACCTCTCTGTGCCTCACCTGTAAAAATGAGGATAATGATAGCACCTACCTAACAGGATTGTTTTGCAGTTTGAATACGTTGTATTTGCAAATCGCTTAACACAATGTCTTGCACTGCACTTAATAAGTGGTACCTAAGTTTTGTTAAATAAGTTGAGGTAGGTGGGAGTTTGTTTTGACACCTCCAAATAAAATGGAGGCGTGCGGGCAAAGTAATGGCAACGAGGGGCGAGAGGGGGGGTCACTTTTTCTCAGCGATGAGACCCCCATGAGGCTGCACCTTAGGGAGGGGTCGCCCTGCTGCCAGGATTCAGCAAGCACCCGCTCCCAGGACAGGGGCGCGGGTTGAGAGAAACTTCCTTCCTTCCAGGGCCTAGGATTTTCAGGAACTCGTTTCTGAGAAGTGGCTGAGATTTTAAGGTGGCGATTTCAATTTCCAGGCAATAGACCGTGGGGTGAAATTCTGTTTTGTCTGAAGAGCAGGACCCCTGTCTAGGGCAGGACGGGGTTTGAGTCCGAGGGAGAAGGGTGATGTCCTCTGGGGGACGATGTGCTAAGAGTCCTCATCGGTCGGGCGCGCTCTCGCCGCCCGGCGCGGCGCTCGCCTCGGAGGGAGCACGAAGGCTGCCGCAGCCCCGAGGGAGGCAGGAGAAGCCTCAGAGCAACGGGGCGGTGGGCGCCAGCGGTCGGAAGCGACCCCACATCGCGGCTGCGGAGGGAGACCCGCCTCGCCCAGGGTGGAGGGCGCTCGCCGGGATCTCCAAAGGGAGGGGCCGGCGCTGGCCTGCGGGCGACCGGCCAAGCTCAAGGCCCCAAAGGAGCCTCCCCCCGTCCCGCCCGTGCCCGCCCGTCGGGGGCCCCGGTACCCGGGGTACCTGAGCGTGGGCCCGATGCAGGCCGTGTCAGTGCTCTCGATCTCTCGCAGGATCCGCTCGTGCTCCGCCGCTGTCTCCAGACTCTCCGCCTCCGCCATCTTACCCCGCTCCATAGACCGGGGGCGCCCAGCAGCGCGTCCCCTCCTTCAGCTCAGCTCACCTTTCGCTCCCTCGCTCACCCTAGGCTCCAGAGCCTCCCAGCCTCCGGCTACCCGCAGGCCGACCCCTCCCTCAGGTTCGGCACGCCCCCTTGCGTCACCTCGTCCGCCGACGTCCCGCGCAATGCCCGCTGGGATTTGTGGTTCCCGGGCAATGGTAGGGTGGGTTCCGCTCGTTTATTAATTGAATCCACAAATACGTGTTGAAAGCCCCCTATAAACCAAGAACATTTAACGACACTGCATATGGAATGGTGATCAAGTCAGGTAATGAATGACACCAATCCTACAAATTCTTGTTTAAGACCTTTGCCACAAAGTGCACAAGGCCCTGTAGGCGTGAATAATACAAAAAGACTAATTAGGTTTCTGCAGACAGCAATCTTAAAGCTATCAGGGGGAGAAAGGTGGAGAATCCCAAAACTAAGAACTAAGGCAGAATGTGACTGTAAGCCAGTTCAGAGAATCGAGTTCAGGGATCACTTCTGGCTGCGAAGGATTCATAGAGAGACTGGACCTGGAAGTTTTAAAGGTGTGACTGGAAGGTGTGAAGAGCGCCTAGAAAGCCAGCAAGAACTTCATTTGAAGTGGTATGTAGAGAAGTAGCAGTAAGAGATGGCGCTGATAAGGTACCTTAGAGAGAAATCCTGGGCTAAGAAATTTGTACTTTATTCTGATGGTTCCAGTGATCCAACATCCAACTGCATCAGAAGTGCCTAGAAACGTTTTGTTTTTTTTTTTTAATATACACTAAAGGTCCTACATCTGGACATTCTGATCCAGGCATCTGCATTTCATAAACTCCCCAGATTAGAATTTAAAAAATCATATTTATCGATCACTGCTTGAGTTTTTACATAACACAATGAATGGGAATCCACTGACGTTTTTTAAGAAGAGGAGTGACACAACCAGAACCTTGGCATTAGGGAACTTGATCAAGAGCAAGTGTGCAAAGTGGGCAGAGAGAGAGAATTTAGAGACAGGGAAATGCTATAGGAGATTTTAAGACCTAAACAAGGGGAAGTGGCAATGAGAATGAAAAAGAATGGGCACTTAGGAAAAACATTGTAAAAGTAGAATTGGCAGGATTTACAGGATAAGGGGAAGGAGGAGAGGTTTGGAGCAGAGTCACTGGGAGAATGGTGTTGCCATAAACAAAAAAACAGCATGTAAGAAGAACCAAACTGGAAGTTGAGGCTAGATCATTTCTGCTACAGCCATACCATGGATTATTATGCAAACATTAAAGAAAAAGAGAAAAGACTCTGTATTCAAATGTGACACTGTCTCCAAATTGTAGTGTTGAGGGGAAAAAAGCAAAGCATGAAACAGTTTATAGAGTAAGTTTTCATTTGTTTTTTAAAAGAATAAATATTCATATATACTTTTATATATACATAAAATATTACCTTGAATAGTTCTGAAAAGATACCCAAGAACAGTAGTGGCAGTCAGGAGAGGGCTTGGAAGGAAGGGGCCTGGAGTAGGAGGAAGGTAAACTTTAATTATGTATTGTTTGCACTTTCGGAATTCTTTCCCTTGTACATATATCCACTTTTTCAATAAAAAATAGTAGCTATTAACTAAAAATACACTTTAAAAATAAACAAACAATAATGAGGAGAATGTGTTACAAGTCCTGGTTTGCCAGGAACTGAGCAAGTCGCTAAACCTGTCTGTTTGTAGATAATCTCTGGCTGTCCTCATTTTATTTCATTACTCAGGCTTAAACTATTCCAGAAAGATGTAGGAGGGGTAGGGGGAGTATGGAGCCCTTCATATTTCCAAAGATCCCTTGAAATATGTGACAGAGGGTCCGTTCAGGCACCCATTTTAGCATCTCACTCAGCAGAAAGTTTTTGGTCCATCACAGGAAGGAGACTGGTATGTAGACCAGATATGTATCATAGTGGTTAAACTAGCTTCTGCTACTATCAGCAGTTTTTGTGAGTGCCAGCCGAGGCCAGAGATCTCACATGTTATCAGAAGGATGTGTTGGGTCTGGAGTGATTGGTGTAGGAAAGCTCCATTGAAGATGGCCTGCCTAACATCAATGCCCTCTAACTACAGAGAATGTCAGGTCAGTGTGGAATGACCAAAAAGACCAAGAGTCGAGGGAGCTTTGATTCAGTTCCAGCATTAGCAGTTACAGTATATTGAGCACTTTCTGTGCCAGGCACAATACACAAAGTAAGCACTTCACATACATCATTAAATCCTTACAACAATCCTTTTCAGTAGATATTGTATGTCCCATTTTACAGAAGAAAAAGCTGAGAGATTAGGTAATATCTGAGATCTCACAGCTAGTGAATGATGAAGCTGGTATTCAAACCCAGGTCCATCTGATTCCAAGGTCCATTTCTCAACCATTAAGCCATACTGTCCAACCCACACCCTCCATTGCCAGGAGTTTATTATGTGAGCTTAAGCAAATCATTCTGTCTCTTTGCCTCTGCTTCCACATTAGTATAATGGATTGTATCATTTCTCAGACCCCTTCCAAATCACCTTGAAGACCCTTCCCCAGAACCACCTCTTTCCATTTATTCACTTTAAATGAATAGATTTTCTCTTCTCCTGTATCAGTAGATTTACAGTGTCAACATTCTCACTACTCCCCACTGCCACTTCTAGGCTGTTGTCCCGACACCCTGATTCCTCAGCTCCTCTTTGAAGTGTAGAGCATCAGATTGTGCTACAGTCATCTGCTAATGTCCACATTCATCAGAAATTTTACCACTTGGCTCAAAGTTTTCCTATCCACCTCATTCTCTGCCATCGTCCTGAAGCACTTCAATATCAACATGGATAACCCACTCACATCCTGACCTCATGGATCCCAACATCCCAACCATGTTCCTCATGCCGTGTAGTCAATACATTCATGGTCACACCTTCTCCCTAACATTCCATAAACACTGCTCTGCCCCCAAGTCTACAAACTCTGAAATTCCTCTCTCTGCCTCTTTTCCATCCACCTCTTCCTCTGCCTAATTTTTATAGGACTCACACTTTAATTCCAATCTTTATCTCTGATTTCTAGGTAATCTATTAGCATTTTCCCCCTTCTAGCCTGGATTTTCTTCTATCCAAACTTCCAATTCAAAAAGATCTAAGTTTGAATGCAGGCTTCTCCATTAATCAGCAGGTGAATCTGGGTATGTTATGTGGCTTCCTTAAGTTTCCTTAAGCAGTTTTCTCATATATAAAATGGAGTTTAGGGCTGGCCCTGTGGCCAAGTGGTTAAGTTCTCACGCTCCACTTCGGCGGCTCAGGGTTTGGATCCTGGGTGCGGATGTGGTACCACTCATTAGGCCATGTTGAGGTGGCGTCCCACATGCCACAACTAGAAAGACCCACAACTAAAATATACAACTAGGTACTGGGGGGATTTGGGCAGAAAAAAGCAGTAAAAAATTAAAAAGTAAAAAATAAAATGGAGTTTATAATATATACCTTATGAACTTGTTAGAATTAGAAATAATTAACGTGAGGGGCCCTAGCACAGGGCTTGGCAGAATAAATGTTAGCAGCTACCCACAGCACATACTCCTATGAGCCACCAATTTGATTAAACCTTCTCTAATTCTTTAGCTTCCTTTAACCATACCCACATTGCCAATTTCCCCCCCTTCTATTGTAATGAGGAAAAAAGACTATAACCATGGCAAGTGCCACTATAGCACGTTTGTGTTGCTCAATATCATTTGGGCCCTCAGGAATGCTCACCCATCCTTTGACTTCTATTCCTACTCACAGAATCCATTTATAATCCTTTCCTCTCTACTTAAGATCCTAGCCCTGCTTCCATCCTTCTCACTCTTAGAAGGTGCCTTCATCCATTACTAAACCTTCATTTTCCCTCTCCTTCACCACCTTTTCATCCAACTCCTCCTCCTCTCCTGTGTAAGAGGAATGGGGTTGCCTACAACTTTCTAAAGTCAACGTCTCATCTGGGAGAAGTTCCTGCAATTATCTCTCTTCCCTCTCCTTTACCTTCATCACTAAACACATGCTTGAGTCTTTCCAGCTAAAATCTCTCCCCTCAAACTGGATAACCACATGCAGAAGAATGAAACTAGACTCCTATTTTACACCACTCACAAAAATTGTCAAAATGTATTAGAGACTTAAACATAAGAACTGAAACTGTAAAACTCCTAGAAGAAAACATAGGGAAAAAGCTCCTTGACATTGGCCTTGGCAGTTTTCTGGGGATAACACCAAAAGCACAAGCAACAAAAGCAAAAATAAACATGTGGAACTACATCAAACTAAAAAGCTTCTGCACAGCAAAAGAAACAATCAAAAAAATGACTAGGCAACCAAAGGAATGGGAGAAGATATTTCCAAATGATATATCTGATAAAGGGTTAACATCCAAAAATATAAAAACTCATACAACTCAATAGTAAAAAAAAAAAAAAAAAAAAAAAAATTTAAAAATGAGCAGAGGGACTGAATAGACACTCTTCCAAAGAAGACAGACAAATGGCCAACAGGTACATGAAAAGGTGCTCAACATCACTAATCATCAGGGAAGTACAAATCAAAACCACAATGAGCTATCACCTTACACCTGTTACAATGGCTATCATCAAAAAGACAAGAGATAACAAGGGCTGGTGAGGATGTAGAGAAAAAGAAACTCTGTACACTGTTGGTGGGAATGGAAATTGGTGTAGCCACTAATGAAAACGGTATAGAGTTCCTCAAAAAATTAAAAAGAAAACTACCATATGATCCAGCAATCCCATTTCTGTGTATACTGTATATCCAAAAGAAATGAAAACAAGATCTCAAAGAGCTATCTGCACTCCCATGTTCTTTGTAGCATTATTTACAATAGCCAAGACATGAAAACATCCCAAGTGTCTGTCAATACATGAACAGATAAATACGTTGCTAAGAGAGTAGTCTTAAGTGTTACCACCACAAGAAGAAATGATAATTATGTGACATGATGGCAGTGTTAGCTAAGGCCATGGTAGTCATCATTTGGCAATACGTAAGTGTATCAAATCAATGCGTTGTACACCTTGAACTTACACAATGTTATATGTCAATTATATCTCA